GTCGAACGGTGAGACGGACGTGTAGTTCAGTTTTGGGCACGCGTACGGTGCTGCAGGGATTATATATAGGTGTAGTAGTACCTCTTCGGGCTCTTGTATACCTTTTTCTTGCTACGTGTGCGTGTTCTTTAGATCCTCAGATGGCTCTAGCACTTTCGTGACCACGGGCTGAGAGTCTTTGCTAGATTTTGGCATTTAGCAACTGGCATACGGTTTAATGTGAAGTCAACAACAACAACAACAACAACAACAACAGACACTTGTGACTTCCGCAGAATTCAACTGAAAATGCAGTACCAAACGAGACAGAAAAATATCAGCAACAAACAAGAAAGCGCCTCGAATACGATATCTCGGACTTATATCCAAGACACCACAAACATTACACCACGGGCAAAACAGCGTACTCGCGTACTCCCGTACTACTACTCTCCGCGCCCTCTATTGTACTTGATTGAGAAGGGCAGCTGCGGCAATGCGACCGACTCCTGCCTCTGGTCCATACACGCACGCAGAATAGAAAATGCTCGCTACATGAAGGCAGAGATGGCTGAATCAGTGATGTGCGGTGTGTCCTGTGTTCCTGTGGTCTTGGTCTCAGGTCTTCGGTCTTTGCGTCTTTTCTCTCCTCTCTTCTTGTACAAAAGTCAAGTAGTTTGAATCAACAGCAGTCATCAAGGTTGGTTTGAACAACGAATGTTTTCAATCAACACAAGAATCTCCATCAATCTCCAGATCTACAATTTGTGGTCTGATCTGTGAACTTTAAACTGAAGAGTTAAAAGACCAAGAGGCTTTGAAGGGGATAAAAAAGCTCTGTTTTGGTTACAATGATGAGCTGTCTGAGCGTCCGAGCCACCCCTTACCCCAATCTCACTCGTGCATAATCACCGCTATGCACGACAACCCCTGTTATGCACACTTTTATGCGCGCTCCAACTTATGCTTTTGCTTATGCACGAAAAGCCCAGTTATGCACAAACATCAGCATGCATCACACTGTTAAGGCCTACGGAGGAGACAAGTTGTTGTTGTTGTTGTTGTTGACTTCACATTAAACCGTATGCCAGTTGCTAGGTCAACCAGCCCAGTTCAGCTCGTCGCCACCTGCTCCCTCCTCCTTTGATGGCGACAAGAGAAATGTCAAATGGAGCACCATACGAAAGGTCTACTTACTTATGATGACTTGTTCTACATCAGGTTTTGTTATGTACGTACGTGCAACTGCATTTCGTGCATTCGTCGGAACATCTGTTTGGCAGCCCGCTGCCAACCTGCCTGTTCCTAACTACTGCTGTAAACTCACTCGTGGTACATGAACAGTACCGTCTAAATAGACTCGGTTGCTTGTTCTCTTGAGTGGAACGCGTGGTCTTACATAACATCTGGTACATACGAGCACGCATACACGCACGCACGCACGCACGACCGCCCCTCATTCTCCCTGTGGCCTGACTCGTGTCGTTTTGATGTTCATCATCACTTGATGCGTTCTTGGCCTGTAGACTATTATAGCCTAGTAGTTCGCCCCTCTCTGTTGTGACCGTTGGAGGAAGGAGAGGTCTCTACAGGTTGGCATATGGGCACCGCAGCAGCACACAGACACCAGTCTAACAAGATACGCCCCTCTCTGTTGTGACCGTTGGAGGAAGGAGAGGTTTCTACAGGTTGGCATATGGGCACCGCAGCAGCACACAGACACCAGTCTAACAAGATACGCCCCTCTCTGTTGTGACCGTTGGAGGAAGGAGAGGTTTCTACAGGTTGGCATATGGGCACCGCAGCAGCACACAGACACCAGTCTAACAAGATACGCCCCTCTCTGTTGTGACCGTTGGAGGAAGGAGAGGTTTCTACAGGTTGGCATATGGGCACCGCAGCAGCACACAGACACCAGTCTAACACGATACGCCAAACCCTAGAAAAGGATGGTATTGGGTATTTAGACTAGTCTACAGTAGCAGTGCTACACTACAATGTTGTCTGGTGTCACAGTGTCACTGGATGTCAATGATCATCAGCTGAGGGGTTGGCGAGAAAAGCTTCAGCCCTCCGTGAGCTGCTACAGCACTGCTGTAGAATCTGTGGATGCGCCATGTTCAATGGTTGTTTATATAGTCTACCAGTCGCGCCCCTCTGTATTTTATTGATTGTAGCTGCATTTCCTCTTCGGTTGTTGCATACCCGAAGCAAAATCGCCTGATGGAAACAATGTGTGCATACCATCCTTGCTTAATTGTTGGGGAGAAAACGATATCTCATGGTTGTTGCAGATACGAACATACATACGTCAACAACGGCATTGGAGATTCCGCATTCACCCGCTTCAGCTACAAGCTACGATTTTTTTTCTTATGCTTGATACACGCGTCGTCATTGGTTCATGTGACGGCAGAGAAAGGAACCCTGCGTGCATGTATCCATAGACTATGCATACACGTACTTTGGAAGCTTCTCTCCTNTGGAGATTCCGCATTCACCCGCTTCAGCTACAAGCTACGATTTTTTTTCTTGCTTGATACACGCGTCGTCATTGGTTCATGTGACGGCAGAGAAAGGAACCCTGTGTGCATGTATCCATAGACTANTCATCAGCTGAGGGGTTGGCGAGAAAAGCTTCAGCCCTCCGTGAGCTGCTACAGCACTGCTGTAGAATCTGTGGATGCGCCATGTTCAATGGTTGTTTATATAGTCTACCAGTCGCGCCCCTCTGTATTTTATTGATTGTAGCTGCATTTCCTCTTCGGTTGTTGCATACCCGAAGCAAAATCGC